CCTAAAAGTATTGTTTGAAAAAACTCATTTTTAAGAACCGGTAAGAACCGGAATCGGAACCCTTATTTTGTAATTTTAAGAACCGGAATTGGTACCGGAATCATTTTTTTTTTTTTTAAGAACTGAACCGGAACCAGAACCATAAAAATCCTTAAGGTTCCAGTCCCTGGTCGTCACACACAAACACATTTTAGTAGTTTAAATTATTAGTTGTAATTTTTATTGAATTTACTTAGTATCCGAAAAGGCAGGTATGCAACACAGTCTTCAAACAAACTTCTTCTTCTTCTCAGATTTTACCGGATATCTATAAGGAAATGTATATTTACCCACCTAATATTCTCGACCAACGCTTTCAAAAATATACGTTTTATAATAATTAATTTATTCTACAATAAGGGAGTAATTAATTTTTTTATCGGCAATGTGAAAGAGATCTTTAAATATGTTTATTACTTAAAAATAGTATAATATATTAAACATGTTTTGCATAACATTTGTTGTTTTTAACTTATAAGAAGATATTGACGTACCTATAAGAACCATGGAAATTGGATTATTGAGGTATAAATATTAAATTCTTATGAGAAATGCTGAAGATGAACCTTTAATCAATTTTACAAAGTTTTTGCTTAGTTAGAAATTTCAATAATTGCTTATTTAATGGCTTGACAATTTAAAATCGATCGAAATATGTTTAAACTTTTGTTTAATATACTATAATTTATTAAATGCTTGAAGTATACAATATTGTAATATTTTTTGAATTACGAGAAAATAACGAAAAGCCTTCGAGAAAATTTATTATTTTACGTTTAAATATCAAATTTCATCAACATTTTAACTTCAAACGCTTTTTATAAATGCATGTGGTTTTATGTTAATTATTAAGATTTTTTTTTTTTTAATTACCTTCAGTAAGTAAAACTTATGAGTCATATTACATTTTCAAGCCATTAAGTATTATAATTAAAAATTATTATTATTTTTGGTTATTTTTAAATGAACCCTGGTATTAGTAAATTTTGAACTACCAAAATTAAATTTTTATAAATATTTAAAAAAAATATAAAAATACTGTAAGTTTATTTCCTTTTCGTAATATTGTTTATACTATTCGTACTACATAATTTACAGGTATCAAATTTAATTTGCTTACCTATTCGCATAAACAGATTGCATCGTATTATTTTTGGTTACTGAAAAAATAATAATACAATAATATGATGTGGTTGGTTTTAAAGTGTTTTTTTTTTTTTTAATTACTTGTATATTTTTACGTAGGTATCGTGATTGATTTGATTTTTGTACTCAATTTATCCGCAGGTGGTGCACTCCATTGGTCAGCATCAGCCTGTGCCTTATGTTGGCGGGTTGTGTTTTTTCGTTCAGCGGTCACTTCTACAAAGACCAGAAAACACTGATCGCATCGTCTTTGCACACGTTAGCTGGTAAGTAAAAATTAAATTAAATATATTTTACAGTGATTATTGATTTCGCATGGTAGCTAGTGTGTAAATTTCACTTCAAAGTGCGCTTATATTATTTATGCCCCGTTAGCATTCACCTTGAAAATAATAATGCATATACTACGTGGAGTATAATATTACGCTCAGTGGAGTCATGCGAGACTTGCAAAATATAGGTGCAGAACATTATTATAATATTGTTATTTTAAATTACCATAAACTTGATAAGTTGTGAAAAAGTGATAAGAAAATAATATAATGTGCAGGTAAACTATACCTATAATATTATATGAGGTGGACAAAAAAAGTCCATAAATATTATATTTTAAACCACAAATATTATGATAACGTGATAAGAAATATAAATATTATATTATACTGTTAGATTATTTTCGATTTATTTCCAAATATATTCCCATCGTATTCAATCTTGAGCACATCAGATTTCCTGAAGTCTACGTGTTTTAAATTTAAAAAAATCTAATATTGTGACGATGTACAGTAGAAATGCACGTTGAAATAAAATCGTGTTTGTTGTTCGACAAAAAATGTCAATATAGTGTATTATTAAACTCGTTATGTATGGTTGTATACATTCATGAAATATAATATTATAAAGAATGACATTCGACTTTGCTATTATTTTTTCCAGTATTTTTGATGTAGGTATATTAAAATATGTTCAATGTTAATTATTTAAAGTGTCTGTCTTTTATGTTTAAGAAGTTCGTCTAGCTTTTCAATAATTTAAGACTTGCTTAAATTACTTTAATTTGAGAATTGTGTTAAACTATTCGTTTTCATAAATATTAAAATATTTAAGTTATGAATCATTTTTAGGAAATTAATTAGATTAATTTTAAGCATAAGAGTTCATACACATTTTCTAACTAAACGCGTGTCATAGATTCGTGAAAATGTCTCACTGATAACTTAAGGTGTAAATTTGTACGTTAGAATAATTTAATAAAATCATAATATTTTACTATTTGTTAAGTGCCGTAATTGTCTATGTCACTAAACATCAGTTACAGGCTGCAGCTATACTAAAGATTTATTTAATTCTCTACGAGATCGTTGATTTATTATATAATACCTACGATATTTACATATTCATCATGGTAGAATATTGAACTGTACGGTATTTCACTAACTTTTACAAATAGTCTCATGTAAAAGTGGCTTTAAATTAAGATTTGTATAGCTCTCTTTAAAATTCTATTACACGAATTCCACGTAATAAAATAGCTATAATATACATAATATACAAGTATAGAACCTCGATTTTCCGTACCTTCGAACCCTCTATTATCCGAACGTCAATGCTAAAAATTATTTTTGTGTCAAATAAAAACAAAACAAATCAGTTTGTCAAAAACATATAATAATAATAATGTTCCTCTTAATAGATAATAACATAATACGTTATGTGTAAGTGATGTAATATTAATTATGTATAATAAGTCGATACTAATGATGTATGTATGAAATAATAATTCTATATTCATTGCACAAATAATATTTATGTATGTTTTTTTATTTCTATTATCCGAAACAGGTGTGGTCCCAATTAGTTCGGATAATCGAGATTCTACTGTATACTATACTTATTATAATATATCCATTATAGTACACTTAGTTGTGCATAACTATAACAACATTAGCGTCAATTCTTTGTTAACCACTTCCGTTTCCGGTTAAAATTTAAAATATATAAATGTTTTACTAAAATACTGTAATTTATTCCGTTATACATATTTATTTATAAATTATACTATTAATATTCATATATTATTTAATGTGACTTTATTCCATTTCCAATATTATAAAGCAACTGCTATTTGTAAAATGTTATATTGTTAACAAAATTACAAAATATATGATTGATGATCGCATGATTATGATATCATCAGTTATTGATGATTTGTATATTTTTCAACTTCTCGTCAATATTTTAAATATAAAATAACCTTTAATCGGTTTTCAGCAAATATTTGTTTCAACATTTGGTAAAATAAAAAAAATAATATACATTATTAAAAACGAAATTATGAATTTTCATTATTTTGAATTTATATTTTTATAATCATATAATAATATGTATAATATCCATAGATAATAATGTAAAATAATATATATATTCATGTTTATTGTATGTGACGGAAGATATTATTTAACATTTTATGATTTATAATAAATATCAGTAAATAACTTTCCAAGAAACGACAAAGATTAACTTTTTATGTTTAATTTTAAACGTAAATGTTCGTTTATAAAAGTTCCATAAATAGTTAAAATTTAAAAATAGTATGTAGATTGAATTCTTGAATAATAATGAAAATTCCAATTTAATTATAACAACTGAAAAAAATTACGCGCCTTGCAGCCTGCAGTAAAAATTCAAAATATATTAAGTTAATATTAATCTACTTACAGCGCTGTGATGGAATCAAAACTTGATTTCATTGTTTTTTTAACATTATTATTATTATTGTTTACGAATAATTTAGTAGGCATATAGATAATATTATAGTGTAACCTATCGTGTAAAATGGCGTGCTTAACAAGTGTGTTGCAACTGCATCTTTATCGTCCGCAGGATATTATCTCAATTTATGAAAGAAACATATTCTCGTATTATAGTTCTCTATAAAATTCTCGATCGTTTACCCGTATTAAAATCAAATTAAAAATGTATTTAGTAATTCACGGACCCGTATAGTTTTGTTAGGCTGGTTAGGGCTTATGTGAGACGTGGGGTATTATGTGTGCCTGCTGCCTACCATAAAACGTACCACTCTATTGCTACAGGATTGGATTTCGGGTAGTTTGAGCGGAAAATAAAAGTAAACCGTCCGAAATGACAAATGCAACAGTGTCGATAAATTACGTCGGCCTATCGTCCGCGCGCGGCCGAGGGAAAATGGATCAATCGTGAAGCGCATCTAATACACGCATTGTTTGGTAAAGAATGTTAAGTTCATGACATTAGTTCTTGCGGGTAAGTGGATTAAAAAGCAACAAAAAAAATAAAGAAAAAAAAAGCTCAGAACGATAAAACTGCAATTACTAGGACTTGTCTGCAATAACTTTCAACACTTCTTTATAAGTCGTATTCACTCGGTGCGATTTAAAACCCGGCAGATATAATATAATATAGGTACATGGCAATGGGCTTTTTTTCAGCTTTTTCAGCTTTACCAGTGTTTTCTTGAACAAAAAAACAAATTAAAAAAAACTCTTAATTAGCGTTCGGGTCCCCGGAGAGAGTAATAATAATTTTAAAAAACAATTCGGTCATACCTTTTTATTTTTTTTTTTTACCCGAGGCTTCTCACTTAGTCCATGTTTGTTTGTCGGGAAGCGCTATAATGACGTTGCCGGATAAACGAGAGATAATTTTTCTCGGACTACCTACATAATAACGATGTTTAAAAACAGTCATAGAGAGCCACGGTGACATAATATATATATATATGTATATAACTCAAAGATGTGATTATTGTATATACTACGAATAGTATATGTATTTACAGATAAAACGATATGAATACAATTCGGTTATAAAAATAGTGTATTATACTATTATCATAATATACCTATTATAATTTGTAACTAATATTTTGCATTTTGAGCTGTCTAGAAGAAAGTTTTTTTTTCGGCGAGTATAAAAATTACAAAGAAGAATAAAAAGTTAACGATTCATTCAACATTCCTTTGCAAGACTATTTATAATAATACATTTTCCGAATAAATCAACCCGCGCACACACATATAATGTGCATTATGTATACATAAATATACATTGTACATCGGTAAAAGAGAATAGGGAGATTTTCGTTGCAGTACATTAAATTTCCAAACGCAGAGTAACAAAACTACAAAAGCTTTTCTAAATTGAAAAGTATTTTCTGTTGTTAAGCTTAGCTCGTAACTTATGTACGAAATTGGCAAATCTCTATACATAAAAATAAAAATGTTAATGTTCATTTTATGGCGTTCACAAAGTTAATTTTCATATCGGAAATAAAATGAATTATTCTCTTTTTTATTGAAATGTTTACAAATATTATACTACGTATAAAATATTTAACTTAATACGTAAGCGAACATTTATGTTTTTCAATGAAATTAAACTTTGTCATTAATTGTTTTTTTAAATTATTATTCCAATATAAACATTCATATAATATTATTTGATAGTTAAGTTATCTGCAATTATTAGTTTATCGTTGTGTAAAAAAAATTAATTAAAAATTAGTTCAAGAACAATAGGTAGGTATAGCTAATTTACAAACATAATATTATTGTGTTGTATTTGTGTTCAATTGTGAAACACACTTGCATAATATTATCATAATATTTAAAATCTGTTTACACTTTAGGTATAGAGTTTATATAATATATTATTATTATATATAATTATTATATATTATATATTACTTATAGTATGGTTACTATGGTTTTCAATAACGTAATTAGAAAGTTGAATACATGTCAAATTTACATTTAATAAACAGCCATAAATCTTTATAGTAAAGTTTAGACTTTAAATAGAAGAAATCATGACAACTTTATTATATTTGATGGACGATGGATCTTGAGATTTTAGAAAAATAATAATTATAAATCGAGCAATATTTTGTTTTTCTCTTACTAAATATTTGACATTGTAATGGTCATGATCATAAATAAGCTGATGTTCTTGCTCATAACTCGTTTAAAAAATTAAATATTGTAAAAACCGACGATAGAACACACAAAAAATGTGACAGTTGAAAATTCTACAATTATTCGCAAAAAATCAAAACCAGTAAAATGGAAAAACTTAATAATAAAAAATAAATTATTAATGATGATAATATTGATAACCAAACTAAAAATCACGAAATTGTTTTCAAACTATTCAAATACCGAATAATAACAATAAAAAAAAACTAAACTATTAGTGCAATCTCCTCCTCGGACCAATAAAAAAGGAAAAAAAATATAAAATCCAAATTTTATCACACATCATTTTTGAGGATAATCTGATATTAGATACCAATTGCTTATGACCAACCACAGCCAAAATATTTTTATTTTTTTTAAAGGGACAATCTTAGCTTTTTAAACGACGAAAAAGTAAAACACTTCATTCCAACAATTCATTCCGATTGTTGTATAAAAAAGTAAGTATTTTTTTAATTTTTTTTTTTTGAAACAATGAATGTTTGTCGATAAGAGAATCTTTTTCTAACGATATATACTAAGAATGCAACAGGTTGTGTTACGAAAAAAAAATTGTTTTTATGTATTTATAAGTACAGTAACGTTTTCATCGATTCAATGTTCGGTCGCATGCTACCTATGATCTTTTTTTCTTCAACATAAATTATATTTTCTGAAATTGCTTGAGCATAAGGTACGCACATCACGCTGTCGAATTTTGTATGGAAATTACACTATTCCAAAATTCAAAAGCAGTTATAGTAAAAATGTTATAACATTGAACGGTATATTCTTACATCATCTGCGATTCCCATATATTATGTATAATATTTTTAAAAAAACGTGTATAATAGACAATATAATATAGTGAATATGTATCATATTATACCTAGCCGATATCGCGTATCTATCGTTTTATTATTATTTGAAATTATCTCGAGCTCGTTTGACCGAATTTTAAACCGTAATAAACGATGTCGATTTTTTTTTTATGGAACCGCGTGCGTTGTCAGCATCGAGCGCGATTATGGACATGAATCGTAGAAAAAAAGAAAAACAATCGATTTCAGACAATCGCTATAGCAGATAATATATATATATATATATATATTGCATATTATATGTATATATGTTAAGGTGTATGACCGCAGTAGGCGAATGTTGACAGTCACCGGTGTAGGTTGACATATACCAAAAACCGTAATGAATGTTGACGAAATTATCTTAATGCGTTCATACACCGGTTATTGTTGACATTTACAGTCAGTGTTTGGTAAATGTTGACCACTCTTGAAGCACAATGTATGTAAAAGGTATTTTTGTATTATTTTGTAAAATTAAGATGTTATCGCCAAGCCACAATATGCATTGCAGGCGTTTGAACGTTAGTAATGTTATCGCATGAGACAATCCGATTGTTAATCGTTTGCTAGATAATATAATATAAATATACCCTCGTCAGTATCGACGCGTATTCTGAACCGAGCTCAACAGTTTAGTGTAAATAGTGTAATACAACGAGCCTTAGTGTAATTATATTTTATTAATATTAATATTCGAATTAAAACTAATAATGGATAAAAGTAAAAAAGATATTTTTTATGAAAAGTTTAGTGCACTTTTATTTAAAAAAAGGAAAGATAATGGTTTTTATTTAAGCACTGAAAAATATAATAAATATATAAGTGAAGTTTTAAATGCTAAAGCAAAAAAAAATAAACAGCGAAGTGATTACAGACGTGTTGTGAAAATGTGGACGAGTATTCGGATTTGGCCGTTACTGTCCGTAGTCCGTTAGTCCGTGGTTAAGTCCAGGTTAACGCTGACTAAATTATTTGTTAGTTCTCACTTAAGGAATATTCAACACAACAACTTRTTTTTAAGAAGTTATTTATTTATTTAATTTAAGTAAAACACCGTTATAAAATAAAATTATATAATACACTCGTCTTAACGGAATCGCTGGTCTTTCACGACTGTCTTATGAAAAACATACATCAACTGGCGATTGCGTCGAACAATGCATTCTGCTTACATAGCTAACTATTCTTAATACTACAGCCAAGGGGTTCCCAACAGACGATTAAATCGATTTGACGTTATGGATATTATGGATAATCATAAACTAATCGTCTCGTTAAAATCAGGTGAAACTAAAATTATTTACTATGTAAAGAACGAAGAACTATACGACATTATGTACGAAGCTCATATAAAAATTGGTCATGGAGAGCGAACCAGAATATGAACGATGAATTGCAGAATAAATTCAAAAATATAACATACTAGCTGAACCCGTGCATTTCGTAGCCCGTTAAAAATGCCATCTCTTTTATGGTCCATAGTTCATATTGTGTGTTAAATTAATTTCATGTGATGATGCTATCAGTATATTTTTATACATAGTGGTTAAAATATATTATAATTTTACAACGATATTCAATTCCGTATATCATTATGTAATTTTCTTAATTTTTTCAATATAATGTTGACAATTTAAATAGGTATTCAATTCAATGATATTTAGGCATAACACTTTCTAACTTACCATATATTCTGACCTATGTCTAATAAAATTTTGTACCAAATTTTGTCGCAATCGGTCCAGCTGTTTAAGAATGTATGTAGGACTAACAGATAAATATATATATAACCATCACTAATCACACAGAACAATAATAACCGCTAATAATAACCGTCACTAAAGCAAYCATTTATAAATAAACAAAAATGTCCATCCTAAAAATAAGTCCAGCTGCTCTCGAGAGCACTTGTTTGTTTAAATGGTTGCCTTTGACTACCAAAAAATATTAATATTATTTATTTTATTTTTTATTGGGCAGATGGCGCCACTTTAATTTCATCACACCCTCATCATATTTCTCTAACCCGATAATTTTCTCAAATTTTTCATCCATAAGAACCTTCTCCTGGCAATTACGACCCAAACAAAAAAAGAGTGAGCGAAATCGGTCAGCCGTTCTCAATTGATGAATTGTTATACATTTTGTCTCCATTTTTATATATTATATAGATTTATATTTTTATTTTTATCTGCTAGAAGGCGTCACCAGTGTAACTCAGTTTTTGTCTCTAAATCTCTAACTCACAGGAGTTAGGTCCATAATTTATGCTATACACCCGCTTTCCGACATTCTCTATCATTAAAAAAAATTTGAACCAAATCGGCTTTTCCAGCCGTCTCAACTGATGCAATTTCGAATTTTTTGTCTCCATTTTTATATATATAGATGACGTTGTCATGTTATTTTTAAGTTTATGTGTTCAATGCCAAACTAAACAAAAAGTTCCGAAAAAAGGTATTGTAATCAAACCTATTATAAGTCGTGAACTTAATTCCCGGTGTCAAGTAGACTTAGTAGATATGAAAACTCGCAAAGATGGTGAATTTAAATTTATATTAAATTATCAGGATCACCTAACCAAATTTATTCAATTAAGACCTCTAAAATCTAAAACTGCAGAAGAAGTTGCACATCACTTATTAAATATATTTCTTATTTTCGGAGCGCCAAATATTTTACATTCCGACAATGGACGAGAGTTTGTAAATAAAGTTATATCAGAGCTGTGTTCAATGTGGGATGGTGTGAAAATTGTGCATGGTAAACCACGTCACAGTCAAACACAAGGATCCATCGAAAAGGAAAACCAAGATTTCCAAAATATACTGAGAGCTATGATGGAAGATAATGACACTACAAAATGGTCAGAAGCATTACCATTTGTCCAATTTGCAAAAAATACGASGTATCATCAAGGTATTAAGCAAACGCCATACGAAGCTATGTTTGGCACTAAAGCACAAAGAGGTCTTTTTACATCTTCTCTTCCACGAGAACAAATAGAAAAACTAGCAACAGAAGAGGAGTTAGAAAAAATACTTCAGTCTATAAGTAAGTATAAAATATTAAATTAAATTAAAATTATTAATATGCAGTGACACCTTATATGCATAAAGTGTGATCGATATATAGTGACTAAATAAGAATTTTTTTTGACAGCCCCTGAAACTGACCAAGAAAATAAAGGAAGTGATGAAAATGAAGTAGAGTCTAACGGTAAAAGCGACGATAACCTTGACGATCAAACAAATAATGTTGAAGATAAGCTCAGCGATAAAAGTTGACAAAAACCAAAAATAATTATTAAGTTTGTAATTTAAAACAATAATACCTATTACAAAAACAATTCAAACAAATATTTTGTATTTAAAAGACATAAATGAAAGGAAGGAGAATACAATTAAGAATAGAGCTTTGGCACTAAATGGACTTCAAACACAATCAAGTGTATGCATGCTGCGATCGTCGAACCAAAAATTTCCGCCTGCTCATGTCGGTGATACTGTTCGAGTGCGTGTTCCAGACATCGATCGAGGACTTATGGCTTACCAAAATATTTTGGCTGTTGTAATGGACGTTGATAATGACTTCTACAAATTAGGAACAAAATATGGGATTATCAGTCAGCTGTACACTCGAAATCAATTTGCAGTGTGCGAAGAAAAATTGATATCGTTTAACGACGTTTTATCCGAGAAGACAATGTCTTTGAGACAGGTATCGACAGCTGCTTCCAAAAGTGGTGGCCAAGGTTATAGGTATACGATTCAATTGTAAAAAAAAATGTAATACAAAAAAATGTAATTGCAAGAATGGGGGAATACTTTGTAACAGTAAATGCCACGCTAGTTTACCATGTTCTAATAAATAAAACTTAATAAAGCATAATATGCTACCTAAACTTAAATATAAAAAAATTAATTTGTTCAACTATATTTATTTATGAATTTATTAGCTATCTATTTTATTATACATATAATATGTTGTCGTTGTCACACATGTCAAGATTCACTAAATAACTATTGCGCATGTCAACAAATACTGGTAAATGTCCGCATTGTGAGATATTTGAAATAATTGATAACATTCACCAAAATTATTAGTGAATGTCGAAATACGCCAGTGACTGTCAACATTTACTGCCATGCGGTCATACACCTTAACATATATATATATATATCAAAGGTACTGTGCAATAATATTGTAATACAGCAATGGCTGCTTCAGCCGCTATTACTGGGTTTACAACTGTAATTGAAATGTACGATGTACCGGGCGCCATAGCCCACTCCTAGTCCCTCAGTTAAATTGATAGCTTTGCCGAATCGATTATCAGACCATCAAACGAGAGCGGTTGGTCTGTCTTCGGATTGATTTCTAGCCATACGATCGCATAATTATTATTTTAACACTCCACCGAGCAAAACAATGGTAATCATATGTCGTCTGCAGCTGTTCAACTGAAACTGCAACAGCAACACTATATCCTCTGCAGTGTGTACACCATGCCCGCATTATTTGCAATTATTATTATTCTTATTCTTATTCAAATTACGCGGAAATCAATCGGTCGAATTGTAATACACGACCGACTGTGATACTTTACCGTTTGCTCTTCCGCCGCCGCTGCCACCGATTATGTTCTGTCTGGTGTTTGATTAAACTAAATTTGATTGTTCCGTATGTCTGCACATTTATGACGCATAATATGTAGTTTTTATGTGTTCGCGTTCGAATATTGTAATAATATATTATTTTCATTAGAGGCGAGACACCGTTGTACCGTTTATCTATATAGTGATACAATGAATAATATGATATTCTTGTTAAGTACAATCATCATAGTTATTGTTGTCGTAAACTGCAAATATGATGTAATTTCGGTAGCGTAGCCGGGTGGAACAGTTTATTGATTTATTAATTTTATACCAGTACGATACGATTGCAGTTTGTCTTTACATAAGTATATAATATTATTATATATTATTATTATTATACTACACTAGCGGACATCATACACTTCATTGCCTGTTAAATAATAAAAAAAATAAAAAATAAAAAAAAAATACCAATTTTGTATACAATTCAAAATTTGTGTCCAACTATTCATTTCATACCCCGCGTAGTGATCTTTAATACTTCCGCGGATTTACCCTATTTTAGTCTTCATTAAAGTTTTTAATCACAGTCAAAAAATATATTAAATAAAAGTATAAAATTATATTCAAATTATACTTATTTTATTTTATTTTTACCAGTTGCAACCGCCCTATAATAATATACAGAAAATATTATTTTTCCAGGATCCATAAGAAAATCTTAAATTTTTTCGGGATGAAAATTTTACGTTACTAGCTAGATTATATGTTTTTATATATTTTAGTATAGCTTATAAAATATCCTTGTAATAAAAAAAAAAATAATAAAATCGGTTAAGTTGTCGCCGAGATTATACCAAACAAACAAAAAATTTTTCTTCTTTTTATATATTATAATTACAGATGAGTACATCAATACCTATGATAATATATGCAATTAATAAAAAAGCGGGTAAGTCGTGTATGTCGCTCTGCTGTACAGTAGGTTACAAGTGGGTTACTGTAATGGATGGCATTAAATTTGAATCCAATGATATTATATGTTGTAGTGATCACGTCGCCTACAGGTATCAGTAGTCAAGGATGA